AGATTATTTGAGGCCGGGTTGATCGCCAAGTGATCGCACTGTAGACAAATAATTTTGGTGTCACAAAATAGCGATATGTACGTACTTAGCATGCTAAATTTAGGTAGTACTGTACGCGATCCAGTGCTGAACTGCATTCAAGTTTGAAGCGTGTCTTGAGCGCGTCGGTGACTCTGAGAGCATGGCAAGTGTTGAACGTTTGAACATTGGGATCCGGACCGTACACAACCTGTAATCACGATTCACTTCCCTTCCTTAAGCAAACACTTCCGAGTCGACTTGTGGCATACACTGCCAGTTTTCAACTTTTTCATTGCTCTCATTGACCAGTGATAGTGGAAGATCTCCCACTATTTTATGAGAGCCTTCCATGATGATCTATCAACGATGAGCGACGGTAGACTATCCTTAGAAGATGAGTCCACTACGGTAACATGCTTCACCTTTGACAATGCGATATAGTGGTTGCTGAGGAATTTAAGAGTCTGAGTAGATTGGCTACAATTATGCCATCCCAATTCGACCCACTGACATTCAATGAGGTGGCTTCCCTACCGAACGGAAGTCCAGAATCAGAATCAGAATCAAATAGCACATTAGAGGGGTTTCTCGGTAAATAGTCCCTGTATATCTAGGGAGAAACCCAGAAAGTAAACCAAAGCCAAAAGGAAGCAGAGAATAGCAACCCGGGACAAGACCAATTGCGAGAGTCGAACAGAACTTGTAAAAGATGATTTCGACGGAGGACCCTGTGCGCCGGCAGCATCAATTGCCGCAACTTCGTCAGGAGTTAAATCAGCTAGGAAGACGAGGTAAATAACTCTATAAGCAAAGGTCGCAGTGTAATATACTCACGAAGGTCTCCAACAGCAAGGTATTCTTGGAGGTGCTGTTTGCTTGAGCTAGTTCTTTATACCGATTCTCACATCAGGGCACATAATCAATTACCGGAACAAGGATACTCACGTAACAATAACAGCACCTTTGGCTTTGACCCAGAGGAAAACCACTTGGGTGGCTGTGATACCTCGTCGTTTGGCGGCCGTGTTCAAAGGTGCGTCTACAGGACCTCCCGGGAAAGTGGTGATCGGTCTATGCAGCCCTTGTTGTCTTCACCATTCACCTATGCTAAGTGGCTAAAAGACAACTCACGCAAGGCTCCCATATGCTTCTGTGACAATCCCATGCTTTTTATGATAATCGAGCAATTCTGCATTCTCCGCGATATTGTAGGGGTGCAGGCGAATCTGCATAGAGGGTCGTGAGTAATTGTTGCTAGCGGCAGTTCGCAGGAAGTCGACACACTTGGTTCACTACGGGCTTGACTTTGGCGATCTTCAATAACTTTTGCAAGTCGGTTACTTCGAAMTTACTAACGCCGATGTTCCTAAGGCAAAGTTGGCGTGAGATAACAAAGTAAGGCAATTGCAATATAGAATGACTGACTTAGCGAGCCCATCTTCCTGTATTTTTTCGAAGGTTCTCCAAGTACCTTCGTAATCTCCATTTTCAACAGCTTTGGGTGTATGGATGAGATATAAGTCAAGTTGTTTGACGCCAATCTTATCCAACGAGTAGAGAGGCGGTCAATGATGCGCAGCGGTATACATTTGGATAAAACAATCTTACCTTGGTCAAGCTTTCATTCAAAGCGTCCCGTATGTTGCCAAAACCCCACTTCGACGTGAGGAAGAACTCTGACCTGGCCAAGCCACTTTCCCGAATAGCAGTGCCAACACTTTCTTGATTCTGGTAGACTGTCAAAGCGGTGATGAATTATACAGGGAAAGAGGTGGCCATGTGTGATTACATTGTGCCGTGTCGAGGTGACTAAATCCAGTATCAATGGCTTGTTCGATGTATTGGTGGATATCCTGTCCTTTATTGACACTTCCTGAGCCGTAAGCTATGGAAGGTATCTGTGGTCCTTGAGTCAACTTCACGACGGCGACGCCCATGTGTTGGTGTGTAGGAGTCCAAGCACGTACCTTGTTACCATTGTTTAATTCAATATCGGCGAAAGGCATTTCAGGCAGGAGCTCAGAGCCCAGTTTCTCTATAATGTAGGAGATGAAGATAAGCAGATAACCCAAGATAGACTCGTTGTCCGAGTGAGTGCGCCATCAGTGGTCGACATGGTGCCACAGTACTTGGAATATCGGGCGTGAGAGACAGACAAGTTGCAGATCCGCATGGCCTCAATGCGCCTCATGCATTGCGTGCATCATGGCGGCCAACGCCGGGCCACTCTCCCGTTCCGGCTCAATCCCAGCTTTCTTGCCTTGAACCCAACTTGAACCTCCCCACAAGTACATCTCGGATCCGGAGTTGCATGTCTGTGCCGATTACGAGGGAACTAGAGGCAGGTCCATCAAATACGACACGAAAGCGCGGACGATCTGATTCTGACCCTCGGAACCACCGTGGCCCCCCAGGAAAGATGTCGAAGCCTCACGGCGACCTCCAAATGTGCAATAAACCAAGTTCTTCGGAGAAATCTACCCACACCCCACTGCCGTCCGTAACGGAGAACTTATTGCAAGGCTACAAACTTTCCGACGTGAGGCACGACGAAAATTATTACTTCGACGATGGCAGTTGTGTGCTTTTGGTGAACAATGTCTTATTCAACGTAGGTTAATCTCTGCGCAGCGATCACTTTGCTTTACATTCCTCCAGGTGCATCGCTCTCTTCTGAGTAGAGATAAGTCGAGTTTCGCGTCAATGTTTTCTCTTCCGCAAGGGAACACACAGGCTGAAGGACATTCGGATGAAAACCCCATAGTCCTCATAGGTGATACAGCAGCAGAATTTCGCAACTTCCTATGGGCTATGTACGCTCTGTAAGAATATCCATTTTCGCGTTCTGAAAGTTGGATTAACGCGAATTCCTACAGGCCACCAGATTTACGAATCGCAACATCAAACGTAAACCATCTCATCGATATTGCGAAAGTGTCTCATAAATATTCATTCAAATCACTCGAGACGTGGGCATTGGACGCAATCCAGGACTATGTCAAGCGCGAACCTTCGCCCATTTTGACCTTCAACTCAACCTCAACAGAGATCAATCCACTGCCCAAAGCATCTACTCAGCAAGAGACGGCCGACCAACTTACGCGCCTTATCCGTCTCGCACAACTATGCGATCATGACCGCCTTCTGGCCACAATGGTCGCTCTCCTAAGGCAGCTAATGGGAATATCCCTACAATATGCATACCTCGCAATGAAGCTTGCTGATGAACTTGACTTGCGGACGCTGCGCGGTGCGGCATACCTTGAAGTAATGACGAAAGCAACTGTGGTTAGGAAGGCCGTCGGTGACTCAGGAGACTCCGAGGGCACCGTTGACTCCGCAGGTCGCTTGGTTATCACACGCACGCAGCAGCTCAAGCTATTAGCAGGCTACTACCGTCTTACGGCGACTTGGGACCGCCTGCGGCTCACCCCGCTGCACTTTGAACACTCTCATTCATGTGGGGCGACCTGGCACCAACAAGGATGTACACAGTCGTGGCTAGAATTCTGGAAAGAGAATAGGCGGAGCGACGTTGTCATGAACCTCGGACTTGCAGATGTGCTCGGAAGGCTCAAGCTTGTTCAAAAGGATCTTGATCGATGGGGCAGCGCAACGTATATGCACCACGACTGTCGGATAAATGCGAAGAAGGCTATCGGAGATATGATCAAACGGGTGGAGGAATCACTGCCAGACTACTTCTCTGAACCTGGTGACTTTGCTGAGGATTGATGTGTTGTATTTTTTCGTGCATACTGACTGTATTGTATTTTCAGCATGTATACTTGCTAGCTTGTCCTGTAAACTATAATTTTCAAACCTGTATCTATGCACATCTGATCTACATTGTATTATTGATAAAGAGAAGGACGGAGATTTTGTTAGCTACGTACTATTCAGTGACTGACGTTGAGCTAGGCTCACAGTTGGTGGCATCATCTTTTATTCTCGACATGAATGGGCGGTCCGAATCCAGCAAAACAGGCAATCGGGCGCGCGCAGTGCAGCTGATGTCGGCGAGATCGATTATTTAACGACAACCGAATGAGATCAGTAGATCGTATGAGTACTGGTTGTTGCCGCAACCAGCAACGAATAGTGTACAAAGGTTTCCATCCCAGACGCATTCACGTTTTTCTTGATGTGCCATTCCTACTACGCTTGCCCGCTGTTGTACCACTGAGTTCCGTTGACAAAGTTGAAAATCTTCGTTCGGCCTCCGACGGCTCCCCAAAGTTATTCCAAGGTCCATTGGTGATGCCTGGTCCTGTTGTTGGGGGTGGCGCTCTTGAAGACTCGGCTAGTGTAGGAACTATGCCCATCTGAGGGCCTTTGTTGAGGTCCATGCCTGGTCCCATCATACTCCGCATGAGTGCATCGATGTCGCCTGTCACTGGCTGTACATCAAGAGCAGCCTTCGAGCCGCGCCTCAGAATCTGCTCGAACAGTTCGTTCTCTCGGAGCTGTGCCACTTCTGCACGCAAGGACGCCATGACGCGTTCATACATCACTATCCGTTGCGTATCCATTGCGTGAGCACCAACTGATACACTCATAGTTCAGGCAGCAGGCGCACCCTTCTCCTCCGCCGGATCGAGCTTTTTCTCGCCGATCCTCACTGGGCGTCCGTTGGGACCGGGAACAGTCAAGAGGGGATCTTGGTCTGCCTGAAGTTCCTCCTTTCTCGGTAAATGAAGTCCGATGACCTCGTCGCATTTCCGTTCAAAAGCAGGCTGTGATAACTGGAATTCGCTGTCACTCCAGGATGTCTGATCAGCACCATACGAGGTCCCTATTGAGGACGCCGGGGAAGGTGGGCGGAGAACTGGGTCGGCATAGCCTGTATGATGATTGTGGGCTGAAATGCTAGCCATCAGAGGAAAGACGTGGACTCGGAGGAGCAAAGTATATATGGCTTGAAGCAAACCGCAAGTAGCACGTGCCACGGGAAGGCTTACGTCACTAGAAGCCAGCAAGGTGCTATAGTGTAGTGGTTATCACTCGGGATTTTGAAGCGTCTCGCCTTGTCTTCCCGAAACCCAGGTTCGAACCCTGGTAGGACCTTTTGCGTCCACATTTTTTTGTTCTTGTCGGAGTCAACAATTTCATGCATGCACAATGCACAATGCACATTGCAGTTGCAACTTGCAACTTTCCAGGCAGGACTCAGTGCCAGTGTGCAGTGTGCACCGTGCGGCGTGCAGGTACCGCCAATCAGTAACGTTTTTCTTGTGTCTGTATCTTCCGAGAGCGGCAGCGTAGTGAGAATATATTTGGTTTATTGCAATCTCAAAGACGTACAGTCATGCCTGAGCTTATGGTGCTATAGTGTAGTGGTTATCACTCGGGATTTTGAATAATTTGTTGTCTTCCCGAAACCCAGGTTCGAGCCCTGGTAGCACCTTCTGCTCGTAATCTTTAATTTTTTTTTATTGGTCAACTCATGGAGCAAGCCCAGCTGCTCCGAGCCCCTCGGGCCTCGACGCTCGGAGAGTCAAACTGATTCAAATTTCAGAGTCAGCATTGAGCAAAGAGTCAGCCGAACGTCCAATTCCACAACAATCCCATGGTTTAACCGCCTGAAAAGTTAGGACCAGCTGTATGAGCTCGTATGAGTCTTGCGCTGCGCGGTAGATTGCGCAAGTACTCAAAACAGGTCGGCTTCAACGTCTAAATTAGAATTACCTTATGTCATCTCTTACTTCTACTGCCGGTTGGCACAATCAAGGCTCAATTCTTCCTCCTTCGAGTTAACAACTTGCACATTCCGAACTCTCGATCCTGTTGCTTTCTCAGAGCTTTTACACGACTTGAACAAGTTGAAGTTGAACGCCCAGTGAACGTGCGCAAGCGAGATGCAGCCTTGTAAATTGTCAGACGTGTAGTGTAGACGCAGAATTGCACACTCGAATTCTCAACGCCGCCTAGATCGTATTCAAGGCCACCGAGGCCGCTTAGTTCACATTATCAGAAGGACGAATGCTACTACATGGCAGACGGGGACGTCACGATTCTGGTATCAGATACAATATTCAAGGTGTGCCATCTAACTTGCAGCTTTGGCATTCTTATACCTATAGTTGCAGGTCCATCGACATATTATTTCCAGAGATGGCTCTACCTTTGCAGACATGTTCTCCTCGGACTTGCAAGATTTTGAGGATGATGCTTTTCAGCAAGAAGGATGCACCGACGAGAAACCCATTCAGCTGCAGGGCGACAATGTCGATGAATTTCGGGATTTATTATGGTGCTTATATGCTTTGTGAGTTTCATGTAGGCCTATAGCTTCCTCAAGTTAAACGTTATTCCAGACCTCAAGAAATATCAACTTCCATGTCGCCCCAGGCTGACATCATCAAAGTTGCGAACGTCCTCCGCATGACTCACAAGTACCATTTCATAACGACCGAATGTTGGGCCACTACCACAATCACGAAATATCTTCAACACCAGCTTCCTTTCCCGCTTCCTACAGATGCACTGGTGAGAATCAGCGAGGTCGCAGTCCTATGCGGTGATGCCTCCCTGCTTGAGGTCATCCGCCGGAAATGGCGAGGCCTAATCGGTGAAAATGAGCAGCTAGCCCTTGCATTGACTACCACCGAACGCCTAGGCTTGCGCGATCTTCAAGGCCTCGCATATCAAGCTATGCTGCTTCAAGGGCGGCATGTTTGGGAAAAAGAAAAGCTTTTAACCCGAGATCAACGGATCCGTTTGCTCTCTGGATATCACAACATTTCCACCTACTCAACGAAGATCAAAGACGAGCCCCCACTTTTTGAACACCTCAATGGATGCCCTGAAGTGTCCTCGTGTCAAGATGACTGGGAATCTCTCTGGTCTGATGTCAATACCCTTCAGGCTTACAAGGATTGCATCTGGGAAAAGGTGCCGCTCTTCACCGCGACCAGTGAATTTGACTTGGTGAACAGATCAATGATGCTTGTGAGCATCTTGCAGGCAATGTACGACCAACCGGCAATGTTCGCACCCTTCAGTTTAGCCAAACTTCCCTGCGCAACCGCTGCACTGAAAGCCACAATCGTATTCAGCCACGAGCTGCAGATGAACATGATGGACTTCTTCGAAGATGTAAATTGATCCCTCAAGTTGTTATAGACTGTTGTGTATATACGAATAAAATACAAATTTGAATAGGGATATGATGTAACCTGTTATAATTAAGTAGAAGGAGAAATCAATAACATCAATAACTAAGGAGGACCTGAAGATACGGCGCTCAATATTGTCGTGCTCTTCTCGTCATAAGATTTTTTGCCGTTTTTCAAGTTACTAAAAGATGTGCCGTTTTCATCTTCATATCCTGCAGTCGGTCCGGGCCAGCGGTAAATGCTTTCCGAGGTGTGGGAATTGAACGCTTATTTCCGCTGTCGGGAAAGAAGGTGTCCAGTGTTCGCCGTCGTTTAAGTACTCCGCAGTTTGCTCGACGAAGTCCTTTAACACCTCGTTCGGTGTGGTTTCGGGCTGTCATGTCTTCTGATACGAGGCCGACGTTTACGCAGTCGTTGTTGGTGCGTTCAGCCGCTGGTTCGCAAACTCTTCTAATTTTATTTTTAGGCCGGAGGAGCAGCGGGGACCTCCGTAGACCTCCTATTCTTCCCTATAGACACAATAAAGACGCGTCTTCAGTCAGTACAAGGCTTCAAGGCAGCAGGAGGATTCTCTGGGATATACAAGGGTGTAGGAAGTGTTGTGGTTGGGAGCGCACCGGGCGGTATGCTGTCTTCCGTTCTGTCGGTGCTGAAGCCGAAGTTGTTAACAGCAATTCAAAGCTGCCGCATTTTTCTCTAGTTATGAGACAATGAAGAAAATTTTGCCCTTCTCCGAGGAACTTGCCCCGGTCAAACATATGGTCGCGGCGTCTGTCGCCGAAGTTGTATGAGGCTTTCTCTGTTCTTCGAGATTCATTTCATTTCATTGCTTAACTTATATCCGTTGCATCGATCCAGGTTGCATGCTTGATTCGTGTCCCAACAGAGGTCATCAAGACGCGTATGCAAACTTCATCTTATGGAACCCTTGGCGAATCATCATTGGCATCCGCGCGGCTGGTCCTTGCAAACGGTGGACTACGAGGATTCTATAGAGGCTTTGGTATTACTGTTATGCGTGAGGTACGTATACCTTTCGACCTTCCTGACATTTCAAACTCTTTGACCCTTTTTTGCACGTAGATTCCATTTACATCGCTGCAATTTCCTCTTTATGAATTGTTGAAGCTCCAGCTCTCTCATAAAGTTGGCAGAAAGCCATTATATGCACACGAGGCGGCTATCTGCGGAAGCATAGCTGGAGGTTTCGCAGCGGCTCTGACCACACCTCTTGATGTACTCAAGACTCGGGTCATGCTGGATACTCGGGTCAGTTGTATTTATCATATGCCATTCTACTTCTTTTTCTTACCTCGACTGCAAACCGTAGGATTCATCGAAGGAAAAATTACCCTCTTTGATTAACAGATTCAGGTCCATTTACATTTCCGAGGGCCCCAAAGCTCTCTTTGCCGGCGTCGTACCACGGACGTTATGGATCTCAGCCGGAGGTGCTGTCTTTTTGGGGGTCTACGAGTGGGCTGTACACGGACTCATGGGAATATAACATGAAACTTATAGATACACCAACTATGTACTAATTACATATTTATTCTGGTATTTAGGTCATTACAAGCAATACATAGACCGCAGAATCTCCAACAAAACTCAACAATGCAGAGCATACTTATCATAACGAAATAAAAGGGAACGCTGCGAACGCCTAATATCAACTTTCTTGAATAGCTTCCGGTGCCTTTCCGAGTCGAAGGATCACCTTCGGCAGTTTCTTGGCCACAGGTTGTTCAACCTCAGTCGAACTGACGCTGGATGTCAGGAAACTGCTATCGGTGGAAGAGTAGTCATCAGGGCTCGATTCATATACGATAGGTTTTGGGGAGCCGGCAGGACGACTTTGGGGAACAGGCGATGATTTAGACGATCGCGTCGCGGATGTCGACGCCGATGCGAGTTTGGACTTAGTTGGAGATGGGGTTGCAGTGGGGGTTGCACTTTTCCCTTTCGTGCGATCTCGCAGCGTCCTGTCGCTCCGTGGGACGGGTACGGCCGAGCGCGCTGAGCCCGTGGCTTGAGCGGCTTGTCCATCCAAAGCACTGAAGATAGCTAGCGTGCGCTCCAGCCATGGCTCCACGGAGCCGGGTGCGGACATTGAAGGACGTCCACCTCGCCTCTTCTTAGTCGCAGCCTGCAGTTTGGTGAGGTTATCGACACTCCACCAGTTCTCGTCAACTGATTTTCCGGGTGGAACATCAACGAGGCCAGAAAGGTGGGCCATTGCTCCGCTGGTAAGCGCGAGATCGCTGTACCCGCCCTCGAGGACGCTGATGAGCTTCCCGCCAGCGTACTTGTCACTGAGTGCACATGCGTCGCGCGCAAACCGGTAATAAAACAAAGTAGGTACTTTGCGGTTATGCCGTGACATGGACTCGTATTCGTGTTCGCAAGCATCCATCCCGCAGCTGATACATATTAGAGTTATTAAGGTGGGATGGATGAATATCTCTTACCTGATAAAGAATAATACATCGTCACCTGGACCACCGGTGTCGTCAAGGAATGCTTGAGCTTTATCTAGAAGCTTGCTATATTGCTCTTTGTAGAGGACATCCCAAAAATGTTGTTCCGACGTGTATGTTTGCAGATGGATATTTTCAATGTATTGGCCATGGGACTTGTGCAGAGAAACAGAGGCAGCCTGCACGAGGTTCACTTTTCCGTCTTCGCAGGGGTACGAAAGGATATCATGAATGGAGCCATAGTAGATCTGCGGTCCGGTTTGGTCAGTTGAGGAGCCGGCCTCGCTTTCCAACGCCTGGCGATAAGTCTCCTCGTTGATTTGCCATACGATAGACTGTGTGCCATTTCCATGATGCAAATCAATGTCAAATATGACGATACGTTTCGTGCCGTGCTGAAGATGTGCTGTCCAAAGAGGTCAGATCAAGCTTCTCATAGTGGTATTATTTAAGGTCGTACCGTGAGCGGCGCCAATAGCCACATTATTGAGAAAGCAGAAGCCGGATGGGGTGTCTTCTCCACAATGATGTCCAGGTGGTCTGATTGCGACAAATGCGCGGTGTAGGGGTGCCACAGCATTCTGGGATACCACTCGATCTACAGCTTCGCACACAGTGCCAACGGCTCCTCGTACCGCATCGAGGGAGCCAGGACACACTAACGTGGAGAAATTAATTTCTGTTGAGCATAACGCGATGTTAGTGAAACTTACGATACAGGTCGCCCTGAGAGTACCCTTCTGGAATTTCAGATCCGCCTTCTGAAATCTTATCGTGGCTCTCTTCGATCCATTTTGTCAGATTCTCGAGAT